CCTTTTCGTCACGGGGGAACCCACAGGAGCAGGTTGAGTGAGAAGCGGATGAGGAAGCAGGCTGAATCTAATGTGTCCAGGGTCACGGTGAGTTGGAATCTACTTGACGGCAATGGGCTTTGGGTTTGGTCAGGCCACGTCAGGGGCCTGGTGGTGCTGCAGGTCAGGTGTTGGCCCGCTAACTGCCAGGCGAGCCATTCAAACCCACCAGCTGTTCTGCAGGAGCGAGATGAGGCTGTCGGCTCCCATGAAGGTGGCAGTGATAGGGTGGCTGGAAGTTAAAATCAAGGCACTGGCAAGTTTGAGAGGTTTTTGTTGTTCATGAAAAGGCAGTTGATTGAAGGCAATTAGGAAGTGGTTACAAGTTAGGCCAAAATCGGCAAGGTCAGCGGTTCGAAAACACCAGCTAGCACCGACTCGATAGCAAGCAGTGAGAGCTGGACACAATTTGGTGTCCGTGTGACCAACCTACATGAGCAGCTCTTTCACTTTCAGACCAGTACACCTGTGGGCAGGTTGCTAGGCCCCACCAAGATGGTTCTAACTCAGTGCAGCCCCATGCCAGCCTCACAATTATGGTGAGCCCACTACTGCAGCTGCTGCCGATCCACCGATCCATCTCGTGAGGGGGCCTTCCTTTCTGTTGCTGCCCCTCTACTTTACCAAGCAAGGTGTCCTTCTCCAGGCAGCACAGGCCAAGTGCACAAGACAGTCTCACCATGAGGATAAAGACCTACAGATGCAGGATCAAAGCTATGCCGAGGGACTAGACCCACTGGCAGAAAGGCTGTAAAACCCTTAGGAACACCTCTAAAGTCATGTCTTTGCACTTGGGTTCACTCAGGCGAGATAGCCTCTTGTTCTTACCGCACCTGTCAATGTGACCACTGGCTTGGCCTCCACATCCACCGATTGGCAGACTGTGCAGTGCATGCCCAGCCCAGAGCTGACAGACTCGACAGCTCTACTCCACCATTTATTTGGTTTGCTGCCTCACCCAGCAAAAGCCTTCAGCGCCGGGAGCCTCACTTTTAAGCGTCTCCACGGGGAGTTACAACGTGAGCATTTCCTGGCATGTTTCTCTCTCTCCTTCCGGGTCACCGTGAGTCAGAATCAACTCAGGGCAAGTGAGGTTGGTCTGCAGTGGGGCTTTGGCAGGCAGGCCTAGAACTCTCCAAGGGCTCAATGTGAAGCAAAGCCACGCAAGGGGGAGAGCGTGCATCTGAAGTCAACAAAGCTGAAACTGATCATGTGAAAAAGAAACGTGGCTTGATGGGGG